GCCCTCATTAAGATTCACATCCTTCAAAACTATATAGAGCTGCTTTGTGTTAAAATGGGCTTGCCATCAATGGGCTTTGGGAGCTTTGATGATAAGTAATGATTTAGTCATTACGTGGTCAGAACACATGTTCAGAATTCCCATTTAGAAAATATTTACTGTAGAAGTAGGAAACAATATTAGCTATTCCTACTCCCATTCCCACTTTTATATTGATCACCCTTTTGTATGTTAATGAGCATTTGGCTTCCGGAGAATTTCTTTCCATCTTAAATCTGAGCATGAAAGAGTCCAAAAAAAGGGGAACACAAAAGAATACGCGCTCTTTAAAAGCAGAATAATGGTTAGTTTTACTACGGTGCCCCCTAGTGACATATGAAAGTAGTTTCACTTTCTGGATTTGCCAACATAGGTAGATAGCACAATAACAGAAGCAAAATTTAGAGAACCAACACTTTCAGTCATTTCCTTATACACGTATTTTTATTTTTGTATAGAACGGAATGAAGTATGCTCTCTTAACATGACATACAAGACCCTTTGTGACCCGCCCGCGCCCCCTCCACACACACACACACACACACACACACACACACACACAGACCCCTAGGTTTTCAGCCGCTTCAACTACTTTCCCCCATGAGCACTCTACTCTGTTTGAACAGCCTGCTGTTCCCTAGAAAGACTTCTCCCAACTCACTCTGATCTCTGTCTATTTCAAAACCTTCTAGCCATCCTTCTAATATCAAATCAGCACTGCCTCCTCCACCCAGTTTTTCCTGACTCTCCAAAGGCAGGCCGCCTGTTCTCCTCCCATCTTCTCATTGCACCTTGGACATGTCTCTTCATGTTTGCTCCATTTCTGGCCTCATTCTGAAATTTGACTGTGAGTCCAAAGAGTCCCGAAACTTTCTGCCATGCACGTTGTGTCTCTAGGACCTCAAAGAGTCTCTAGCACAAGTTACCAACACTCAACGGACTGATTTTGAGAAAGCATACTTTCGATTGATAATGGAAAGAATGCCAGTGTAGGAGTCAGGAGTTTCTAGTAACTGACTGGCAAGTGACGATGAGCGATTCACTTGCCCTCTTGGATCTGGTTTCCTAGTCTGTAAATAGTCTATGATTCAGGACCTCTCTAAACATCCAACAACGCTACACGTTTTCATTACTACCGTCTTAAAGAGCCTCAGAACACTTTGTGAGAAATCAGTCCAACACTTGAGGGATTTCATTTTAATCACCAGAGGTTTGCTTATGAAGCATACCTTCAAGAGTGCTTGAAACGATTATTTGCATGTTTGTCATTAAAAAAAAGAATTTCTTAAAAGCAGATTATTTAAAGAGGCAATTAAATTGAACAACTAATCTGAGACAAGATTTGTTAAGCAAACTCTTTTTCCTTTTCCTAACCAATACCTAAAAAAGTCCTAGTGATAGTCTGAAACTTCAGCAACAATATGTGAATTCTAATTCTGGCTGTTATTAACATAGAACTGATTAACTCACTTTCTAGATCCTTCTATTTCTGTTCTGGGAACAGCAGTAAAGAGGCATAAAAATGTATGTATTCATATAACAGTATCATAAGCTGAAGAATTGTCGCCAAAAGTACTCTACAAAGATGCTTCCAAAAGTTCATGGAAAAGTTTGAGTCTCTTTTAATTCCATTTCCCACAAAACTTTTGAAGCCCCCTCAAGTAAAGTACTATAATAAGGTGACAAAGATCTTAAAAAACCCAGATTCAAAGGCCCACAAAAGGCTCACAGAAATAATTTACATACTGCATTTTCTTACAAGTCAGCCTCTTGTTTTAAATTACAGCCAGTGTGTATATGTGTGTGTGTGTGTGTGTGTGTGAGAGAGAGAGAGAGAGACAAGCACAATGTTCATACAGTATACACTGTTTCTGATAAACCAGAATAACTGATTTCATAATTTGTATCATGAATATTCTTCTAGGGTACTTGACTTTTCCCCTCTTTCTAAGCAAAGTATATTGTCAAGCCAGAGTAGAGTATTTGCATATGTACATAATATATAAATTAAGTATATATATACATATATCATTTCTTCTAGTTCCTGCTTAAGATACAGAAAAATCTATAGGCTTAGACATAAAAAATCTACTGAACTGTTACTTATGTTTTGTTTTTTTTAATTCCTCAAGTCCTCATGGACACACAAGTCTACCGAACTCTTTATAGTTCTTTTTTCTCTCAAATCCTGTACTCAGTCTACATATATAAAAATCCCACCCTTACTGGTTATGAAGCTGGAAAAAGATTTAATAAATCACCGGACCCAAACATTTCGTGCTAACAGCTGAGCAAAGACGAGGCCTAAAGAGGGGAGTGAATGAATTATATGAAGGTAAGTCTATCTTTTTCTTCTTCCTTTTCTAGCATCTCCACAAAAAAAAAGTTCTGTTTTCATATATCTAAATAAAACTTAACCCAGTGGTAAGAAACAAAAAAATCAACCTGGTAAAAGGAAGACTGACTGCTACCTGCAATTAAATAGCTTTATCTGCATTTGTATGGAGACATGCAGGCAGACAATTACTTTTTGTAAGACTGAAATAAAATGTAAGACTAAAGGAGAGAAACCTGATTACCCTCCAAACCTGTCTTCTACAATAGAAGGGATTGGGAGCCCGAGCGTTTGAACTCTACTGATACTTGTCTTGACTTATGTCATAAAAATGAAGGTTTGATCTGTATCACCACCAGGTCTCAACTGAAAATTCCCAGCAATCTTGCAGGGGGTTTTGAAAGGGCTACCTACCAATCTGTGGCCCCTTTTCAACAGACACTGTAACACCCTTCTCACACCCACACACATGCACATGCGCCGGCCCTATTTGATGAGGTCCCAGGGAACATGGACACAACCAGTGTCGGATACTCTACCCTATACAGTATTTGATATTATAAGAGATTAAATATTGTGTATCCTACAACACTGCAGGGGCTGGAGATGTATGCATTAGCCAAAACAGTGGGCTAGAAATGAGGGGAAAGTCAAGCTCGCTCGCTCTCTTTCTCTCTCTGACTCTCTAATTAATGTCAGGTGAAGAATTTCAACTATCCGAGCAGAAACATTTCTTTATCCCCAGTGTACGAAAACAAATTCCTTCAGCAAGCAGCTTCCAACTCTTCCTGGGAACCTGCGCCGACTGGGGAATACGTACTCACTAGCGCTCCCCGCTCCTGCTCAGAGACTTGCCAGAAAGGAGAGTGCAATGGTTAGCCTTCAGTGGCCCCAACTGCCCTTCGTGGTCCCAGTCCACGGTGTAAGAAGGTGTTCGGCAACGCGGTGGTTATACAGTGGGTGGGGCTGGGGCTGGGGACCTGCCTTGAAGCTCTCAGACCTAGTGGATGCACGCAGCAGGTGTTTATTTATTTCAGTTACTGTGTTTATTTTCTTCTTGGAAGAGCCTAGTTCCCGTCTCTGCCTGGAGCATCCTGCCACGGACACATCACGGCCACCCTTCCATACTCCCCGCCC